GGTTATCTAGTCGTTAATGCCTAAAATAAGTTCAAAAACGATTATATTATGCCTATTTATAAAAAACCTCCATATGACCATCATAATATCACTTTTTTTAAGTACTTTATGTTTGTACAATTATATACACTTAAAATAATTTAAGTACTATTTTTTTCCCATAACCAAAATAACTGACTCGTGATAAGTGGACATATTTTCAGATATATAAAAAATTTTTAATTTCTTGTTATAATTATTATAAAAAATAAATAATAACATTAAAAAATGTTCGATATCCCATTAGTCATTAATCACACACAATATAATATAAATTAATAGTTGGGCTAATTAATTATGATCGGGAACATCGATAGATTTTGGTCACTTTTCACAAATCCATTTTGGCATCTAATAAAAAAATATTTACCATTACGTAAATACATTAAGCGCACACATATTATGACATGTCCAGACTTGTTATATTGGACAGAAATAAAATGCATTACGATATCATAAATAATAATAATAATAATAATACATAATATTGTATGCCCGGAAATTGAATTTCTATCATGTATAACCCAGTGGCGTGAGAATATATTTTATTATGTATGTCTAGTGACATAGGTATTATAATTTGCAAGTACCTATGTATAATTATTATTTTAACTATCATGAATTTGTTTATACTGATAATTACTAAGAAATTAAAAATGTTCAATCATTCAGAAAAACGACCATTTAAATACAATTTTAAAAATATTACAGCATTGTAAATAACTGTATATTGCAATTTGTAAGTATATATATTTTTAATTATGATTAAGTTTTTAGAATAATAAAATAATAATTACTATTTATTAGTAAGAATTGAAAAATGGTTTATTTACCCAAAACCCTGATTACCTAGGTACCTATTTAAATAGGATGTTAACACAATATAGAATAAATATTACAGGGATACCTATAATATAATACCATGTGGCTTGTATAACAAAAAATATAATAACCTACAAACGTTATAAGACATATCAAAACCACAGAACTGGTCACCCTAACTGCAGTTTTGGTGTGAGACCGAGTTGCTGCAGGGACCGTTTTAATACCTACTCGGCCCACATAATGAAGAGAAAAAGTTGAACATTCTAAATTTACAAGTAATAGGTCCCCAGCGTCGTTTGTCTCCGCGTGTAAGACCATACTCCAGAGCGACTTTCCTCCTTGTCGGTTCATTACTAAAGGTGGCTAAGTACCGCCATAAATATTCTTGTGACAAAGTGTCCCGAATCATAGGCGTGGTCGTGTTGGAGAGCAGAGGGCATCTCAATTCCCCTCCGCCTCCAACACCATGGTTATTGACCGTCATCGAGAGTCACTTTCAGAAACTTTATTTTTGATTTCGATACGTTAAAATATGTTTTTTTTTTGTCTAGGCAAGATTCAATTTTTGTTTTCTTGTTTAGTTTATGAGCAGTGATCTTTTATAATAAGTCACAGTGTTTTCTTTTTTTGTTTATTTTGTGTACTTAATACCACTTTTCGGGTGGGTGATCTACTCCCTAGAGATAGGTAGAAAGTAAAAGTATCTAAAGTTTAAAGTAACCTCTACCACCACCACCGTTGTCAGCAGTCTCTTTGAGAAAATTCATTTTTGATAGGTAGACTTAAAATATGATTGTTTGCTTTTTGTCTAGGCAATATTCTATGAGCATGTGTCTTTGAACAGTGATTTTTCATAATAAGTTGAGGTGTTTCTTTTTAGTTTATTTCGTCTGTTACTTACCACTTTTTGGGTGGGATATCTGATCCAAAGGGCTAGGTAGAAAGTTAAAGTATCTAAAGTTTAAAGTAGCCTAATCCAATACATGGTGTAAACCCAGCAGAGATATATGTTACTTTTTCAAATAGCTTAGGGAATTCTCCAGACAATTGCGAAAAACTAAATCCACAAACTATAAAAAAAAAGTTTATTGAAAATGTACCGAAAACATGCATTTTTACTGTGACTGGAGGTCGAAGCGGCATTATTAGGACTACTTAAGTCAAAATTAGGGCCTTTAAATGTTTCTAATATACATTCACTTTAGTATACATTTAAATGATAAATATTTTTGACAAAACAATAATTTTTTAATAGCCTTCAAGTTAAATATTTTTGAACGATGATAGTCTTAAGTCTATATTATCTTCTTATACAAGCTTTTAATATAATCGTAGTTGGTAATATTTGGTATACGCGATGAATATTATAAATTTGTTTAATATTGGTGAAATGTTATATGATATTTTGAGACATATTAATAGCTATGAGGGTGATAGTGAGGAACAAACAGGAATGCCCTACACGACCCTTTGACCTATGCAAATGCGACTGGAATTTCAGCACCCCTTTCCAACATAATAATCTGTTATATTAACAAAAGTCCATTGATTATTGACTTTCATAAACAACAATATTTCTAATGTTTAAAATCTTCAACGATTATCTATGCAGATAATCATGAGTTTTTTTCCAAAACTTCGGGCTTTATTTATATGACATTTGAAAAAGTCGTTATTTTCTCGTTATAGGGTGATATTTATAACGCAAGACACTTATTGTTTAAGAAAAAACTACAATTTTTGAAAATACTTATGTTTCATTATTATAAATCGTTACAAAACTACATTTTTGGAATAAAATTATATTTTAATTGTATTTATAGTTATCACTATAGTTTTTTTTTTTTTTAATTTTTACTCTTTTCTATACAATATATATTTTTAATTTCATCTTATATAGTAGAATATTATATTTTATAGTATTTCAAAATATAAAATTTAAATTTTGGACAAGTTATATATATTTAGTAGACGAGTTGATAAATCTTTAAAGTTTAGATGAGCGGAGTAGTGGACCGATATAGTGTGTGCTATTACTGTACCAATCCACTCTGCTCATTTAAACTTTAAATACTTATAAAGTTATGGATCATAAACAAATCGGTCAGATTTGATTTTTCTACATAGACGTACTACATAAGATATTCTGCTTTGAAATAAGATAACTCATGTTGTCATCGAAAAAGTATCAATAATTTAAAAATGATAGGGATACAAATTTCTTAGAAAAACGTTGTTTTAAACACCGTAAAATTATGTAAAAAAAAGTGTTTTCAAAATCATTAATAGTTATTTAAATAATAAGTGACTTTCATTAAATTGATCACTCAGAATAGTAAATTTGTTTCAAGTGCTACTCAAATATTATAATTGCAATAAATAATTGTCCGTGATCCATCTAAAACATTATTATTTCATTCGTAATAAACTATATAATTCGAATATATGGAAAGCATTAATAATTTGTAGTGTAGATTTATACGTATTTTATGTACTATGTCAAGCAACTGCGTGTGCGAGTAAATCCAAATGTTTACAATTCTGTCAACGGATGATTGAACATATACCGTTTTTAAAAAATATTTTTCATTACATTTTTTTTCGGAAACAAAAGCTGAGCAATTAAACATTATTGGCATACAGGACATCCGGGTTACGACTTTGGGATATTGTCAGGATTTCAAGTCAACATAAGTTTTAAAACGAATTAAACTTTACCTACCTACCAATACAGCCAGTGAGCGTTCTAACGGGGGGTATATGGTGGATAGATCCCCCTCAAGGTTCTTTATTTTCTTACATATTAGTAATTTTTTCTACTTTTGATATGTGTTTGTGTTTTAAATATTGACTAGTTATTATTTTTATTTTTTTTTTCTATTTTTCTTTATCGTGATTATTGATTCTACCAGCCAAAAACAATATTATTTATCACTGATAAGGATAACATATAAGTTATATAACAGGCAATTCGTTTTACAATTGATTTGTACTGTATTTTTGTAAACTATACCCATTCCCAGCATCGGAACATTTGTATAGATAAGATACTCAATGATAACAACACAGTGATAAAATAAAATAAAATGAAATAAATAATTTAAACTGATTCATAACATTGTTTTATAGTTTAAATAAAAAGTACAATAAAAATGACTTGAATTGATTATTTAATATTATCAACTATCATTATTAGATTCTGAGTGGAGGGAGGGATCTATTGGTTTTACAAAGGTGTTTATTTTTTGTATGTTTTTTATCCTGTATAACAAATGTCTACCAAAAGGAGTTCTTCGCTTTCAACATAATATAGTATCTTATCTTTTAGAAAATTGGATCAAGATGGTACTTTAGAGAGGGCATTTTTCGATTTTCTCAATATTTATTTAATGACACAGGAAAAACCACCGACAAATTACAAAAAACCGCTAAAAATAGGATTTTAATTTTTAACACTTTGTCTATCATCGTAGAAACAAATAAAAATAATGATTTTAGTTATTGTGTTGTAGTTTATAATATAAATTCAACTTACACGCAATAATAAAATATAATAACAATATAAAATATTCAGACTGACAAACCGTCTCCGCTCAGAATCGTTTTTCATATGCAATGCTATGATATCATTGAATTAAAATTAAATACAATCCATTATACAGTGACCAACTTGTAATCTACTGCACAGCGGAGCGACATCCACTTACCCGCTTCATTAATTATTATTTTTATTATTTTCATAATTATAATATTGGAGTTGTGAGGCAAAACCCATATGGCTTATTTTGTAACCTTTTTTTCATCCCCCTCCATTGAAATAGCCTGAGAACGCCTCTGCCTACAGTACCTAAATAATGGTGGTTGACTGCGATTCGAATCGAAGTGTGTTCGTTATTGAATATGTATTAAAATAATATGTTACCTAGAATACAGTAGCACCTACAATAATAGAGCTTAATTGTGATTCGAATCGAAACGAGTTTGTCAATAATTAAGTCGCATATAGGTATATGGAATTAAGTTAAGCCAACAGCAAGTTGTACTGCTAAACTTTATAACTAGAACTCGCCTACAGCAATGCCCCCCCCACGACTTGTGTGTAAGGTGCAGTATTGTATTATTGCGGTGGCACGTACCTTCATGTGCGGACTGACTAGGTAGAGCAGTGGGTTGGCTCGGAGCCGTTCATTTTCTTCTTCCACCCTGCGCATTTCCTCCCTCCTGGCCGAACTCAACACGGACACCTCTTCCCGGGTGATCGAAGCCGGTGCGTTCAGCGGCACTTGGACGTCCGGCAGACTCTTTTTGCGCTGCAGTGCCATCTGGACCGGAACCACCTGTGCAACAAAACGATTATATCGATTATAATATCATGATAACAGTTGTGTGAGACAGTAGACTATTACATAATTTTATTATTATTATAAGGTAATATTATGTAATTAAGTTGTGTTGTTGCATCGCCAAAACAGAACGTATCAAATAAAAATTAATTTTCATCAAACCAATATGAAAAGTCCAATACGATAATCAGATAACTCCATTTTTTTGGTAAAACCTTTTAACGGCTTTAAAATTCAGCAATATCATTAAGAAAAAAATAATATATTATCGAGTGGGTGCAACAAACGTACTACTCTTGTATACAGTAGCCTTATCACAAATGTACAAATGTAGTTGTCTGTTATTTAATAATTGAGTAGGTGCAACAAACAGATCACTCATCATGTCTTGTCAGTTTTGTTCTATGACTATAATACAATAATATTCTAAATGTTATTATATCAGATTGTTCATATTTAGTTTTTGCATAAAGTTTTGAACTTTTAAACTTTTAAATAACATTACTTTGTGTAGGTGAAATCGAAAATGCCTAAATACTTTAAGCCAATATAAGTACTCATGAGCTGTATAAAATTATTACGAATAAAATACTTTTACTGTCTTTCGATTTTAATTTCAAATAAAATTATGAACAACGAAGACATTTATAAAAATATACCATTATGATATTATATTTTCTTTACGAATGTTGGAATTATGAGTTTTTTGATTTCTTCATTTTTGACTATAAAATTACCATATTTTATCACATTTTTCACTTTTTATGAGAATTTGGCAAATAATGAATTACTATTTGTTTTTTTGTTTATAAATTATTTGATTATATTTATCAATTATTTGATTTATTAATAGATATTGCATTTTACTTTAGTATAAAAATATACAACTAAACAGTTAAATTTTACTAAAGTAAATTTTAATTGACACAAAATACGTTTAAGACATTTCATTGTATATACAGCAAGTAGTTGTTCACAATACTAAGCAAATACTCAATACCTATGCGAGAAATTAAATTACTAAGAAAATAGTTACACAGTTATCCATGGACCATTTCATACGGCGCAGTATTGTACCTAGACCTCGTGGCATGTGGTCTACTGTGTTATCTAATTTTCCAATGCATAGAAAAAACAAAAATGCCGATATACACTTTCACGGTGATGTTTTATATAACTATATTAACCTATACCTAGTCGAAGGACAGCAGATGATCAGTATAGTTAAAAATAACTATACGTATATTAGTCATAAGTAATATTATATAAATGGAAATGTTTTTGGCTTCCTGAACATTTATCGTTTTTCTGTTCGATTTAGGAACCAAAGACCATTTACGATCGTTAGATGTTATGTTAACTTTGGAAATCGTTTTTAGTTCGTCAAAGCACTGGTTAGGTTAGTAATAATAATATATTATTATATTTACATTTATTATAATTTATACTGTGATAAGTGCTCAGACATTTTCCTGCGGCAACGAATTTTGATTTTTAGGATTGAATTGTAATAAAATATATTAATTGTTAATCGAATAACAATAATAAAATGTAATTACGCAGAGCTATACAAGTTATGTTTTGAAATTTAAAAAGAAAAAACAAATTGTCCAACGTCCCGCTATTAATTATATAATAAAATGTAAATTTCAATGAAAAAAAAAAAAAAACTCGCTGAAAACTTTGAGAGAACAGAATATGATATAATCTCGCTTTGTTTATCTCGTCACAACCCAGTTTCGTGTAATTATTTTAAATCTGAAAGAAATCTTGAAAGCCTATTCCGTGCACACCTCGGTACTTACAAAGTGGGTAGGATTTTGTTAATAACAAGTTTACTGTAAATGTCACTGTTTTGAAAAATGATCTTTCTAAAGTAGGTAAGTACTGCCTGCATTCAGTTTCCTGTATTCCGAGATAGGGTGAGCGATGAAAGTTTTCCAACAATTTTACTGTCTCGTAAAGTGTTTCCGAAGAAAGCTAAAATAAAACACAGCATTATAAAAACCAATAATACACTCGGTCCGCGCCGAGTTCGAAATCAATCGCTACATTTAAATGTATATACACATTAATACTATAAATATAAAACTTAAGTATTGAAATGCTTTCTAACAAATAAATCTTACGGTAAGACTCTGAACAGGGCGGGACGGAATCGCTTCGGTGTATTTTTAATCGCTACGTGTATAATAAATTTCACATAATTCAACTTTGACGCCTCACATGCGTCACAACTCGTCGTAAATAAATCGCAATATAGAAATAAACTAGACTCGGATAATTGATGAAATATATTGTATATTAGTCATACCGTTTCAACATCTAATCTGATGTTTATCCAAAGCCGAGAACATAATAATATGTTGTTCTTGTGTGCAATAATTACATTTACCATTTAGCTACTCGTATATAATATTATGCACTACATGCACACTTCTACAATATTGCAAATTATAAATATACAATGTGGTTCATTAAACTCAATACAGTCACTTTTTCAGAAAAAAATTATTGTTTTTTTAGTGGTGGTACCACTCTAATCTGTTCTTCTAAACTTTAAATATCTAACTTATAAGCTACTCATCCAAAATTAGATTTTTATGCATTGAAGCGCTTTGGAATAAAGAATTAAAAAATTATGTTATCATAAAATAAAAAAACTATAACGATAAAAAATAGTAAAAATAAATTTTTTTAGTAAATCTATTGTAATGATTTTAAGGACTCAAAATTATGAAAAAAAATAATTTACAAAAATTTTGATTGTTTTTGTAACAATGAATGTCTATTACGTTATATAAATCACCCGATAGTTATATTAGAAATCTGGGATGACAATATTATGGTAGACTGAAAGAGATCACAAATGAATCGACTGGATAATAGTCTTATTAATAAAAATAAACTAATAATAATCATCTTTGCGAGACACATGTACAACCCTCCTGTAAACTGTGATACCTAACACTGACGCAGTACACCTTAGACCTTATTATCGTAGTTGTATTATTGTTATCGAACAATATGGCGAAATCAATACACAAACACATATGAGTCACGCATACAATAGTTCCCAGATATCAAAGCTCGGCCAGCCGAAATAAGTAGTTTCACTGTCGAGTGTTTCTATTTATAACGTGTACGCGTCGAACAGCAGACGAGACGTCTCAACAATAATTGGGAAAGCGTTTGAAATCGATAAATCTCGTGCCTGAGTCCGTCTAAGAACTACTACAACTACTACTCCTACTATAAAGGCGAGTTTGTTTTTATTTTTCTCGCTCCTTAAAAATGTTTTATCGTCTCACCGTTCGGAGGCCTCCCCCGGCCGACATGTACGCTGCGAACGAGCGACTTTGAAAGTTTTCACATTTATAACGGAAACTATTAGTATCCCTGCAAACTCCAACCAACTTATTGTCTATGAATAACTATTTTAAAAATACGTTTTACTCGACTATAGCGACACGCATCTATTTATAACACAGCAGCCCGGTCCCAGCATTTATCGGCTCATGACTAATTCATTTGTCAGGACCGCTCTCAAATTCGATCGAGTTTTAGACTTTATTGAAGCTCAGTCGTCAGGAAAACGTACGACAGTAAGCACAATATAAAACAATGATCGTCAGTAAACTAAAATAAACATCAAATATGAAAATAAGACGATTACTGACATTTATCGCGACTCCCACTCAGTACAATATTGCCCTTTGCTTAGAACAAAGTTACGACTGTAACAGGAACTTATACCATAATATTATAGTAGAAAATGATGCTGTGAATTATTACAGTAAAAATATGAGAGCGTCGTCAATCAGTAATCCTTCTTTTTATAGACTTTACTAATCGATAACCATCAAAAGGTTTTTGTACAGAAATAAAAATAAATTACAAATCAAGGTAAATATGTGATTATAATATTGAAGTAATTTAAAAATTAAATATATTTTCATTGAATGAAGATTTATCAGCTCTGTTTAGTGTTTGAAACAACAATATGATAAAATATTTCAGTTAGGTTAAGTTTATAATTTTTTTCATTTTTCTTTATATTATTATAGCAAAACATTTAGGTATTAGAGAGAAAAACATAAGTTAACAAAAGCATCAAATTATGAAGGTAATTTATGACAACTATATGTAAATATAAACCTTATTTGAAAAAAACAAAATTTATTAAAATATTGAAATATTTCATGATTTTTTCAAACACTAGCTCTGTTACAAACTATTGAATAATTAAAATTATCCATATAATAGAAGTCCAGTGCTTGAATTTGGATGCCTAGGTGGGGGGGGACTATTTCTTTTTTTAAAAGATATTTATGAGTTCCTCTTCTAATTATATCCTAATTAATAAGACAGTTTTTGGGTTTTTACTGCAAGATAGGGTTGTTAGTGCACAAAAAAGTCTTATAACAAATCCTAAACTAATTAGACATTCCTAGGTACTATAAAACTTGTATCATTATCAAAATATGAAACGGAAAACACAACAAGTCCGTACTTGTTAGTTTTGTTTCAAACAATTAAGTCAATCTTTCGAGTTATTATTAAATAAACAATTTTTTATTTAATATGTCTATCAAAACCTTGTTTGTTCATGGTGAAAATATATTATGCTTGCCATTTTTAACAAGTTCCATTTAATATGATGTCAGCACACTGATTGTATTCTCTCTCTGGCCCACGAGCCACTTAGACAAAACGCATTTACACAGAATGGATTGTTTTTATATTTTTGAGTAATCTTAGAGTAAAATCACCTATTAAAATAATGATAGAAAACAATACTTTTGATATCGATTTGTCTCTAAATATTGTTTCAAAACAATTTAAACATAATTTAAATTTAGAATTTTTTTTTTTTTAGTTGGAAAGTCGAATACAAAGTCAAATAATGTTTAAATATAAAACTGATACATCTCACCCTAGAGAATATTATTCTCTTTAATTTTAGAATAGGTGATTTT